TCCCCTGCAACCCAACTGAGCTGCCCACCCCTGCTGGTTCCCTGCACCCCCCGAAAACCATCCCCCACAATCCAAGGGAGCACAGCACCAGCTCCCTGCAGCCCCTCTCAGCCCAGCTGAGCTGCCCGTCTGTTCCGTATGCCTCCCCCATCCACCTCAGCCCAGCTGAGCCCTGCACTGGTTCCCTGCAGGCCTCCCCACAGCCCAGCTGAGCCCCGTTTCCCTGCACCTCCCCCCCAAGCCCCTCAAAACTGCTGATTTCCTGCCTCTCCCTCCCCTGGAGCCTAGCCCCAGTTCCCCGCACCTCCCCCCGCCTCCCACCCACAGCCCAGCCCGACGCCCGGGGGCAACTCCTGCCCCCCGCTCTCCCCTCACTACGCCTCTGGTTGGGGGGAGCAACCCCACAGCAGCAGCTACTCTGTGCTTACCTCAGGCTTGCGGTGAGGGGTCAGGGCCTCCCCCTGCTGCAAACGCCCCATTGGCCCCCCAGTTCTGGCACCAGTGTCCCCCCAGGTTCCACAGCGGGCTCTCGCTGCGCCGGCGGCCGGTTCCGCCCCTGTGCCCTGGCTGTCTCCACCTGCTCTCCTGCGCTGACGCTAGGGCTGCGCGCACGCTGGGGCAGTGACCGGCTCTCTCTCTTCGGACAGCGCCAAGCACCACGGGGGCAACGCCCCAGGAACAGAACAGCAGCTAATTCCCGTCTCTTGTCTCCTTGCCCCCCATCACTTCCTGCCCCTGCCCTTCTCATCCAGGCTTTGCCTCTCGCCCTGCCCTGACACCCCCCCACCCTCGGGCACCGAACATTGTGCCTTGTCAGCTCCCTTTTTCATGGACACAAACCTGCTGCCACCCAGGCTGTCATCTCAGCCGCCCCGCGCGGTCGATTCCAAATGTTACCCAACTCAACCTGTGGAACTCCTTGCCACAGGATGGCAGAGGATGTTGTGCACATCAGGAGTTTAACAGGGTTCAAAAAAGACCTAGATCCATTCATGGAGGTTGGGTCCTCAATACTTATTAGCCAGGCTGGGTAGGGACGGTGTCCCTGGCCTCTGTCAGAGCGGGAGACAGGGGAGGGATCGCTTGATGACTCCTGGTTCTGTTCACTCCCTCTGGGGCACCTGGCATTGGGCCCTGTGGGCAGACGGGACACGGGGCTGGATGGACCTTTGGTCTGACCCAGTGTGGCCGCTCTGATGCTCTTCTGTTCAAGTCCATGGGCTGGGGGCAGTCGGCCTTTGGGTTTCTGCCCCTGGGGCGTGTTTTCCCGACCAGGGGGAGTTAGTGGAGGCGGAATCTTGCATGGGGCTGGAAGGGGAGATGCAAGGCGATCCGGGGGTGGCAGGTTGCTAACAGAACACAGGCTGGGTGTGAGGACACAGACAGCGCGGCGAGGCGGCCTGCCCTCCAGCGGGTAACTCCTGCTTCAGCAGAGCACGACTTGGAAAATTGCCAGGGCTGGCGCTTGCAGAAATGGTTACCAGGAGAAGGGGGCTGGGTGGCAGATCTTCCTGGAAAGCTCGCGCCCCCGCCCCGCGCCACCCTCCCCTGGGGTAAGCACATCCCCGCAGCTGGGACGCCGAAGGACAGCGTGTTCCCAGCGCTTCGGGCCTGATTCCCAGCCGTGCTGAGCCCTCTCCACCCCCGGGGTCCGGGGAGCTGCAGCCGGCCTGGGCCGAGCACGGGGGGAA